GCAAAACAGATACACCAGTTTCTACACCAAATATGTTCAAAGAGGTAATGCAAGAGGTATCAACAAGATTTGGCAAACTGCCCTGGTATCAGAATCCAAACAGGTAACTAAAACATTTATTTCTGTCTTATGTGCCCATAGTAAAAACTGTTGTTAAAACTTTGGACACAGAGTTTGTGTGGCATGTTCTGAAGAACCACTGACATTTTCCAAGAAAAGAATGCATTAAGATGAATAGAATGTAATGCTTGAAATTCATGTCCGAAAGGTTAGAAAATATACATATGCAAGTTACTCAGGCAAGTCAAAGATTTAACCAACTCTCCAAGTCATCTTAATCTAGCTGAAACCCACTTTAGATTAATTGGAGTAGGTCATAATAAAGTATCTCCCCTTTTGTCAGATTTTAGGATTTTAAGCAAAATGAATAAAATGTATTTAAAAAATCACAACTTTCTCTGTATAACAGGAACTTGGGGTCTTGTCTTCAAAGAGTTATAAAAAAAGTGAAATCTACAGATGCTAACTAGCTGCACTGGAGGCAGGTGAGTGCTGTCCTGCCTAGGACTCCCAGTCTTTGATCACCATCCTCACCACACAGGACCCTTCAGGAGGCAGTGATGGTGCAGCCCACACCCGGAGGTCTCAGATTCTGGTGATCCGCAGTGAAGCCCTAGAGTCTGAATTCTGAGCAAACACCCAGGTGATTTTTATGCAATTCTATCATATCCTACCTTTTTTTATATACTCCAGCGCAAAAAGAGAAATACCACTTGGGACATGGAGAGAGTTCAAGCTTTGTAAAGCCTGGGACTGACTCTGTAATAAAACCATGAACTACTTAATCCATATGTGGCTGCAACATGATTTAAAAACAGCATGATTGCCAATGTATTCTCAAAGTGAGTTGCGAAGTGGCTGAAAAAAATAACTGATTTACTTTTTTCCTTACTCTCTCCATTCTTTTCTCCCTTCTTCCTTCCCTCACTCCCTCCCTCCCTCCTTTTCTTCCTTCCTTCCTTCCTTTCTTTTTCTTCCTTGCCTCCTTCTTTCCTCCCTCCCTCCTTCCCTCCGTCTCAAAAAAAAAAAAAAAAAAAGAAAAAAGAAATTCAAACTCCTTCCTAATTTGACAATTATTTAGGTCTCCATTAGCTTTTTTTTTTTTTTTTTTTTTTTTTTTTTTTTTTTTGGCAACAGAGTCTTGCTGTGTCATCAGGCTGGTGCGATGGTGCGATCTCGGCTCACTGTAATCTCCACCTCCTGGGTTCAAGCAATTCTCCTGCCTCAGCCTTCCCGAGTAGCCGGGACTACAAGTGTGCACCACCATGCCCAGCTAATTTTTGTATTTTTTAGTAGAGATGGGGTTTCACCATGGTCTAGATCTCCTGACCTTGTGATCTGCCCACCTCGGCCTCCCAAAGTGCTGGGATTACAGCATTAGCATTTTTTACTCTATCCTGACAGCCACCTCGCCCTTAATTTACATCAGACTATTTGCCATCCAGGCGTCTATTTTTACATCTCTGCAATTGGCTTTGCCTTGTCTTTTAAGTGGACTTCCCTCCCACTATGCAAATACCTTTGTAAAAACTCTACTTTTGCCCCAAAACCCACTCAAGTGGCCCCTGCTTCATACAGCATCTCCTCCAGCATCTCATGTACTTCCCAAGTTTAATCTCCTCTCTCCCCAGTGTTCAGCTCTCCTCACCTCCCTAGTTATTCCTCTGTCTCCGTTTCTCCCAAAGTCCCCCAGGGCTCTGTCCTTGGCCTCTTCTTTTTCTCTCTTGCTCATTTCACCCAGTCCCATATATTTAAATGCCTACATTTTCATTTCCAGCTGAAACCTCTCTCTCCCGGACACCTTCCCTCAGAGGTTTAACAGACATTTTACACTTCACCTGTCCAAAAATAGACTTCTGATCATCCGTACCTCTGATCAGCCCACTTGCTCCCTCCTAATTTTCCCATCTCATTGATGACTTCATGTTTCCAATTATTCAGGCTAAAGACTTTGAAGAATAAATACCTTGAACTCCCTCCTTCTCTCATATCTCACCACACATCCAGTTTATAAGAAAACCATGGTGAAACCCCGTCTCTACTAAAAAAATACAAAAATTAGCTGGGCATGGTGGCACACACCTGTAGTCCCAGCTACTCGGGAGGCTGAGGCAGGAGAATTGCTTGAACCCAGGAGGTGGAGGTTGCAGTGAGCCAAGATTGCACCGTTGCACTCCAGCAGCCTGGGAAATAAGAGCAAAACTCCGTCTCAAAAAAAAGAAGAAGAAGAGGAAGAAGAAAGGAGGAGGAGGAGGAGGAGGAAAAGAAGAAGAAGAAGAAGAAGAAGAAGAAGAAGAAGAAGAAGAAGAAGAAGAAGAAGAAGAAGAAGAAGAGGAAGAGGAAGAGGAAGAGGAAGAGGAAGAGGAAGAGGAAGAGGAAGAGGAAGAGGAAGAGGAGGAAGAAGAAGAAGAAGAAGAAGAAGAAGAAGAAGAAGAAGAAGAAGAAGAAGAAGAAGAAGAAGAAGAAGAAGAAGAAGAAGAAGAAAAGAAAACCATGGTTCTTTCCAAGAAGAAGAAAAGAAAACCATGGTTCTTTCCATTTCAAAATATCCAGTATCCATCATTTTTCATGACCTCTGCGGTCACCTCCCTGGTCCAGCCCCCATCTTTCTCACCTGGATCACTGTAATGGGCTTCTAAGTGGTCTTCACTTCTTCCCTTATTCCCCTAAAGTGTGCCCTCAGCCAAGCAGGCAGAGAGATCCATTTAACATATGAGTTCGATTATATAGGTCTTCTGCTTAAAAGTCCACAGGAATTCTTCATTTCACTCAGAATAAAGGTCAAAATCCTTGAGCCTCACTGCCCCATGTAGCCTGGTGCATGGTCACTTCTATGACATCCTCTATCACCTACTCTCTGCTCTAGCCAATCTGGCTCCCTTGCTCTTTTGCAGATGTCAGGCATTCTCCCACTAAGAACTTTTACACTAGTTCTGTTTACCTGGAATATATTTTCTCACGAACAGCCACTTGGACTCCCTCGCCTCCATGGCTTCATTCAGATATCACCTTCTCTGTGAGGCTTGCTCAGATCATCCCAATGTAGTACTATAACACAGTCAACCTGATCCTCCTTACCGTGGTCTTGTTTGCTTATTTTTAGGCCACTTTATCACTCTCTAATGTGCTATCATTAATCATCTATCCATCTACCTAGCTATCCAACTACTTATGTATTGTTGCTGGAGCCTGAGTTGGGGTGGCTTACATAATGACAGGTGCCTGGAATGTCTGCCTTGGGGCCATGCCTTGAGCCTCAGTTCTGGCTGTCACTGGGGTTCCTCCTTTTGTCTCCACAAAGTGTCTTTTACAGGTAGAATATTCAAGACAGCTGCCCTGCTCACATTTCTGACACCTAAACTGGGATGGCTGAACTATTGGGAGCTTACTAGGAATCCCTCTTTTCCAGCCCCTTCTCTCACAGCATGGCAGTCTCACAGTAGTTTTCCTTGTAACCTGGAAGCTCAGGATCCCCACCAGTGAAAGCTTTAAGTGCCCTTTGCAGAGGCTCTCAGGCTCCTCCTGACCTGCCTCTAACAGTCCACAGCATCACCTGCACCACATTGAATCAGTCCCAAATCAATCATGTAATGTAAAGTTTTTAACTTTCATTCATATTGTAGTATGTCTCGGTAGTTCATTTATTTTTATGGATGAATTATATTCCATTGTATGGATACACCATAATTAGCTATTCCATTTGTCTGTTGATGCTCACTTGCATTGTTTCTAGCTTTTGGTTATAAGCAGATTGGTGGTTGTCAGGGGTTCGGATGGAGTGAGGGAATGGGAATAACTGCTTAATGGGTAGGGGATTTCCTTTTGGGGGTGAAGAAATGGAACTGGATGGGGCAATGATTGTACAACACTGTGAATGTGCTAAATTACTCACTTTTAAATGGTCAATTTTAATTCCTGTGAATTTCACCACAATAAAAAAAGATAAAGAAAGGCAGTCACAATTCAGCCCAGGTTGAATAAAAGAGGACTACTCAGGTGAGTTCATTTGAAGGTCATCTTTGGAGACCAGCTACCATATCCACTCATGCATATAGAAGCATGGGGGCAGGGAGCTCTGCCTATTTGTGGAATGGTTGCATTCTATGTTCCTATCTTAGTTGCCCATGTGAAGGTGATTTTCCCCACTAGCCTCTCTCACAACATTTTAAAAAAAAAAAAGAACACAAGATATTATGGCATTATTCCTCATAAAATTACTATAGTACTTGGTAGGTATTATGGACTCCATTAATCATTTTTATTCAATGCCTATGGTTCTGTTTCAAAAAATCTTTTTGAGTTGGTTGGTTGACACTCAGAATCCCTTTTTGTTTAGGAACACTGGGAGCAGTAGTTAAGATTCTATTGTAGTTTAGTAACAAGAGTTCTAGCTTTGTAGTCAGAGAATCCCCCTCTCAGAAAACTATGTGTCAGATACTGTTTTAAGTTTTTCATATATTGTTTAATCATCAGAGCAATACTGTGAGGAAGTTACTGTTCTGTATTCATTTTAGAGATGAGGAAACTAAGGCATAGAAAAGTTAGGTAACTTACCCAAGTTACATGATGTGTAGGGAAGGTGTTAGGATTCAGACTCAGACAGGGTAGTTCCATAGTCATGCTCTTATCTTCTCTGCCACAGGCCTCTAGCTTTGATGTGTAACTTAAACTCATAAGCCCTAGTTTCCTCCCCCTCACCATTATAGAGAACCCACAGTTCAGTTTTATTCAGAGCAAAGAAAAAAGAAACTTTCAATCATCCTAGAAGAAACTCAGCCATAGGTTTGGAATCTGTACTCAAACTACACATGCATTGAGGACAATATTCTGCTAATAGAGTTGACTTGCTGCTGCATTTGTCTACTGTTTGTCTAATATGAACAATTATAAACAGAGCAGTGCAACTAGTATTTGGATCAATCAGTGTCAGGCACAACATTTCACTTCTCTTTGCACTACTGATTCTCTTTGCATACCTGGGCTTCCTCCTCTTCAGTAAAGTCATTTTTGATATTGAAGATCTTGCGAATCTCCTCAGGAGTTTTCCCCTTGATCATATTGGCAACAGTCTTGCATGTAACATCAAGCAAACCTTTGATGTTTAAGTAATTTGCAGCCAGAATAAGTTCAAAAAGCGTTCCTTGGTCAACTTTCAGGAATTCTTGGTCCCAAACAGGAATATCATCTGTTCGCTTTTCTTTCATTATCCTCAGGAGGAGGAGGCTCCTCCGTGTGTTGGGTGCACCATTGAATGACCTTTTTTAATATTGCCACATTAACATTTGGTAGAGGAACTTGGTCATCAGCTCCTTCATCATCCATTCCCAAATCTTCCAACATGGTCCTGATAGTCACAGATTGTTTGGCAATTTCCACATCAACTTCAAATACCGCTCCATCAGAACTCTGCAATTTAATTGAAGGCATGCTTTTTGGTGTTAAGGAGATGGCTGACCGGAAGCTGACGAGAGCTGAGAGGCATCAGCAAAAGAAGAGAAAGGCGGAGGATGAAGCCGCTCAAGCCCTAGTTTCTTTACTAGCAAAATAAGGATAATCTTCTTCCCAGTGTTACTTTGAGTTTTAAATGAAGAAATGTATTGGAAAATGTTTTGCAAACTTTAAAACAGTATATAATTCTTGCTTTAATGCATGTCTCCATTTCTTCCATTTGTTCAAGCATATTAATTTAATACTTTAATTACACTAAATAAGATTGAGATTCTTGCTTTCAAAAAGCATGCTGTCTATTAAAGTGACAGATAATTAAACCACTAGTTATACTACACAGTGATAAACTTTCTATAGTAAGAAATGGGAGAAGCATGGAGGCTTGGGCCCAAGTCCACTATTGAACCCAGACAGAGATATGTAATTAAAATAATTCTAAAATATATTTTACATATTAAGCATATAAGAAAATATGCTTCTAAAATACATTTTATATATTATGCAAAACAAAAATAATTCTAAAATATGTTTTATACATTAAGTTCATTAAAAATGCTTAAAATTACTTAGCTCCAAGATAAATGGTTTTTTAATAGTTTCTCTTTGGGTTTCCATCTTGTTACAGGACCTATGTTTTGAAAGACAAAGAAATCTGTAGGTTGAATGAAATTGGAAAATTTCTCAAGTCAGCATAATCCACAGGTGAGCCTCTCAGAGACCAAAAGAACATCCCCAAATGGAGGTAACTCAAATTATCCTGAAGATTTTGTTTTTACCTTTGTACTATGCACATGGCATATGATGTTTATTGACTTTACTTTGATCTACTTTATTCTTGTTTTTTTAAAAAATAAATTCTTGCTGTAAGGTTATGTGGCTTACTGATACATTTCCTATGCATTGTTTACACAGCTATAGCATCTCTGTAAATCATTTAATGGGATGCATCCTGGAGTTCTGAAACAGATCATTTGTTGGGATTGCTAGAATGTTTGTTTCCACTGAACATTTTCAACTTAAGCCCTTAGGAAAAAAACATTTTTATAACAAAGCAATCTAAGGTCATTGTAATTTTATTTGACTGACTGTGTTTCACCCAAATAAAATTGGTCTGGTGCTCTATCAACCACTAAGTAAAATAGAAGGGATCAAACTATTCATCATAAAAAAAAAATCATGTGCAAAGAGAAATGCTAATGTAGGGACTATCAAAGGCATTTCCAAAAAATGATGGAAATACTGAGTTGCTGAAAAAAGCATTTCTTATGTTTGCATTATAAGGCTAGTTCCTTGAGCTTTTGGGAGTAGATATATCTTAGAAGCCACAGTAACATTGCTAGAGATCCTGGGGTGGCTGCCTTTAATGATTTTAAAACTCAATGTGAAATAATTGCTTTAAAAAATTTTTGTGTGCTGTTCAACCCAGTAGGAATCCTGGCCAAATTCTTTTTCTTGGGACTTTCTTGGAAATGGATTAAGGCAGATGATGAATAACATTGATCTTTGCTTCCTGCTCCAGGTATTACTAGCAAGAGCAGTCTTGAAGAGTACAGGAAGCTGTAGGGCATCTGTGAAGAGGGAGTGTGGAATGGGGAATGGTGGGCATACAGCCAGTCCTCTCCTCTGTAGTCCCAGCAGATAACTGGAAAGTGTTCAAACTAGTTTGAGGATGTCTTCTGTTTATATTGCTCAGTGGGGATACCCCTCAGTGGGGTTTGTCAGATTTTCATTGTCATTTTAATCATGCACTAGAATAGTAACTTGGACAAATCTTGGAATATCTGTGTTTAGCAAAATGTGTATATTTACACAGAGAGACACCCTTGCTGCAAAGTTTCTTATGACTGCACCTGCAGGGTTGTTCACATCTATAGATCTTCTTAAGGGAGAATTAAACTGAACCAACAGTAAGCAGTGAAGCACACAAGCAAAAATAAACAAACAGAACTGCGTCAAACCAAAAAGCTTCTCCACAGCAAATAAAACTATTAACATAGTGACAAAATGACCTACAGAATGGGAAAAACTGTTTGAAAATACATGTAGGAGAAGGGTTCATATTCAAAATATAGGGGAAACTCAAACAATTCAATACCAAAAAACAACCCAATTAAAAAACGGAAAAGAACCTGAATAGATATTTCTTAGAAGAAGACAAGCAAATGGCCAACAGATATTTGAAGAAATGTGCAATATGACTTACTAGTGTTATAAGTACTAGTAATCATCAGAGAAATGCAGATTAAATGCACAATGAGATATGACTTAACACTGTTAGAATGGCTATGATTAAAAGGATGAAAAATAGGCTTGGTGTGGTGGCTCATGTGTGTAATCCCAGCATTTTGGGAGGCCAAGGCGGGTGGATCACCTGAGGTCAGGAGTCCAAGACCAGCCTGGCCAACTTGGTGAAATCCCGTCTCTACTAAAAATACAAAAATTAACCAGACATGGTGGTGCACATCTGCAATCCCAGCTACTCCAGAGGCTGAGACAAGGAGAATGGCTTGAACCTGGGAGGTAGAGGTTGCAGTGAGCCGAGATTGCACCACTGCACTCCAGCCTGGGCAACAGTGTGGAGAAAAGGGAACCCATGCACATTGTTGGTGGGAATGTAAATTAGTACAACTATAATTGAAAATAGTATGGCAGTTTCTCAAAAAATTAAAAATAGAACTACCATATAATCCAGCATTCTAATTCTGGGTGTATATCCAACACAAACGAAAACCATTATGTTGAAGAGATATCTGCACTCCCATGTTCATTGCTGCATTATTCACCTTAACCAAGACAACAATTCAGTCTAAGTGTTCATTGAGAGACAAGTGAATAGATTTGTGTAATGAATAATATTATTCAACCTGAAAAAAGAAGGAAATTCTGCCATTCGTGACAACATGGATAAACATGGAGAACACTATTAACAAAATATGCCAGGAACAGAAAGCCAGGATCAGGAGTTTGAGACCAGCCTGACCAACATGCCAACATGGTGAAACCTGTCTCTACTAAAAATACAAAAATTATCTGGGTGTAGTGGCACGTGCACCTGTAATCCCAGCTGTGGAAGGCTGAGGCATGAGAATCGCTTGAATCCAGGAGGTGGAGGTTGCAGTGAGCCGAGATTGCATGATTGCACTCCAACCTGGGCAACACAGCAAGACTCCATCTCAAAAAAAAAAAAAAAAAAAAAAAAAAGAGGCTTTCTCAGTCATCTTGTAATACACTGAATCATTCCTCAAAGAGTCTGGGGGATTCTAGTTAGCATATTTCATACATGTATTTGACTTCCTTTAATGGTAGAAACTATGAGTTGATATATTATTAACAACTAAAATCCATTCAAGGTCAAATCCAATGAATACAATGAATCAGTAACCTGTGTATATAACTGAATTTATAAATAAATACGACATGATTTCTAGGACAAAATGGATAATTTAGTATAGCCATCTAATCTCACTTTATTTGAAAACTCTACAAAAAACCTAAAAATGTATTTAATTCAAGGTCAAATTTGCTCAAAAAGGAGAAGAAAATTTATTCTGTAATGATATATATATTGGCCTATCTGTCTAGCCTCTACAAAATAAATTCACTCAGGAAAAAAATTACTTTGGAATGCATTGTTAGATAGTTGAAGAAAGTGCCTTGACCTTTTAGATTAAGTGTAAAATTTTATATTAAAAAAGAATCAAGAGGAAGTTACAGAGAAGGTAAACAATTTTAAATCAATGTTTTTAGTCTTCGGTCACTGTTTATAGGACAAATATCCAGACTGTTTTTCTAAGATGTTTGAAGTAGAGTTTGATATATTAAATTTATGAACAGTGTATCTCAATCAATATTTATTACTCTGCAGAACAAATCTGTTAAATTTATAATACTTTTATTCATTAGATTGTGTAGCAATACATAGAGAAGTAATACTTATTGATTAACAAATTGAATATTGAAAATGTATTATACTGATAATGATGTTAAAGGATTACCTTGAAACAATGTCATAGACTTTAATATAATAGTAATACCAACAATTCTAATGATGAAAACAAGCTTAAGGTAGTTCCTCATTTCCTTTGCAGCAGGCAAGTAAGTCATGAATCCCCAAAATGTCTTAAGCAGCAATAATATATCTGCAATGGGAATAGAAGCTCCAAAACAACGTGTTTTGAAGGACAACTTTCCTGGGTCCATATTAACTCTGTTGTTTGATTACAAAAAAATAGAGTCACATCACTTTATAGTTACATTTGATGGGCAGTTTGTACATATTTATATCTTGATTATACTTACCATCATGCCAATTTATTTAACTTCCTTTTCCTATTTCTAGGCCAGGGGCTGCTCTTGAAGAATCTTTTGAATCCTTCAACCCTGATCCAAAATAGCGTGTACTGTCCACTGCTATATGTGAAGATACTTATGGAATTCTGAGAGCACATTTTAATCAGATGTTAATTCATTGCTTTCCACTTGTGGCCTTGCTATATCGTACAAAGATGAGCTTAGGCTTATTTTGTTTTCTGATCATTCACATTCTATGTCTTACTCAGCAGACCTGGAGAGGCAGTAAAGTTCCTATGCTATGCTTTCTTTCTGGGAATCCCCTGACCTCCTCAGCTTTTGGGTCAGATGAATGCTTCTTTAGTGTCAGAATGTCACCATCTGTCAACTCAACTGTTCCATACTTTGTACTTGATAAGAGTTTGTTCCCAACTGTAACACAAATAGTAATATAAAGGGGGTTCTGCAGAGGGAAGAGGTCTCATGCTCTTTCTGAAGTCTGGGAGTGGTTAGGAGAGAGCAGATGTTCGGAAACAGCTCTCACAATAATCCCTGGACGGCAATGCCTGGAACCATCTGGTGTCCCATTGGCCATCAACACAGCCTTTAATTTTACCAATGGCCTTGATTTCCTGTGACCATTTTTCATATATATTTTGAAATATTTCAAATGTATACAAAATTATAGA